AGAAAACAGTAACATTATAAAAATGGGAATGCATTTAGGGGAAGAAAAAAAAAGCTTTGCACAGAAAAACAAATATCACTAAAACAAAATGACATTTTACGGAATGGAGAAAACAGTTTCATACAATCAACCTGATCAAGGGCTAACATATATAAATAGATATAAATATCTACCTATCTCAGCGGTAGGGTGTTCGCCTTACAAGCGGCCAACATGGCCGACCCGAGTTCGATTCCTCCGCCCCTCTCGGAGAGCCCGGCAAGCTACCGAGAGTATTCGATATGCCAAACACAGTAACAACAAAGTCTCCAATGGAGACGTTACTGGGCCCGCTCGAGCAAATCGACGATCAACGGGAGGGCCTTTACCTAAGAACAAAAAACCCCAAATATCCCCATCCAAAAAAATGTGAAGAGCTAAACATAAACTTCTCCATAGAAGATATACAGATGGCAAATGGCACAGTGAAAAAACATAGATTATCAGGGAAATGCACATGCAAATCAAAATGACAAATGAGTACCACACACCAGTGAGAATGGCCTATATCAAAAAGGTGAAAGAAACTCTCATTCATTTCACCTTTGATGGGAACCTATGCAAAACTGTATGATGATCTCTCAAAGAATTAAAAAGAGAAGTGCCATATGATGCCAGAGTTTGATTGCTACTTATCTATCCCAAGAACACAGAAGCTCTAGTTTGCAACGGTATGTGTGTCCTTATGTTCATTAGGTGAAGGAGAATGACATCTGGATAAACTCACTCATATGTGTTATAAAAAGCAAGCAAGGAAAGAGATAATATCCAGCAAAAATAAACTGTTAGATCCTGGCCACAGAACAAAGGTGACAGCAGGCTAGGCGCACAGGCTGGGTACAAGGGAGCAGTTGAAAAGTAAGGAGGCTGATGACTGGTGATGATAAAGACACAATGGAATACTACTCAATCATAAGAAAAGACAAAGTCACGCTGAAAGTTTGATGGAGCCAGAGAATATCATGTTGAGTAAAATCAGTCAGAAGGAGAGATACAGACTCAGAACTATCTCATCTGTGGGTTATAAGGAAATCTTGCAAGGGAATATCAATGCCCAATAGAAAGGAAGAGCAGCATACCTGGTCCCCAGTAGGAAGACTGACACTGGGGCAGGGATTGGGATAAATTAGGGAAGGAACACTAGGACAATGAGGGAGGGAAAAAGTGCCTGCCACAGAGGCAAGCTTGGGGGGTGGGAGTGTAAGGGGAAGCTGGGGACATTGGTGGAGGGTAGTGGGCACTGGTGAAGGGATTGGTGTTGGAACAATATATGACTGAAACTCAATTAAGTATCTTTGTAACTTTGTAATTCATGGTAATTCAATTTTAAAAAGCTATTAAAAAAAAAGAAAGAAAAGAGGGTGAAACCTGGCCACAAAAAGAGGGGGCTGGAGCCAATCTGTGTGGTGTTGGGGACAGCTTCTGGAATGAGTCAGGAGGATAGACACAAAAACATGGTATGAGACAAATACCCAAGGACCGAGGAAATAAGGGCAAGACAGATTGGCCCATGGTTGGAAGCCTGCCTCAAGTGCTAGGGGAGAAGGCAGTTGGGCTAAGGAAGGGACTACCAAGACAAAGATAGTTGGAAATGATCACTCTGGATAAGAACGGCATGCCAAAAATAGGTAAAGGAACAAACATGATAATGTCTCAGTACCTGTATGACAACCATTATGCCCAAAGACGGGAGGGGGAGGGAGGAAAAAAGAGAAGAAGGGAAGGGGCAGGAGAGAGAGAGAGCGTGAGCGAGCGCCTGCCATAGAGACAGGCAGGGGGCAGAGGGGACTGAGGGGAGGGTGAGGAGAGGGAAACTGGGAACATTGGTGGTACGAAATGTATACTGGTGAAGGCATGAGGGATGGATGTTGGAATGCTGTATGACTGAAACCCAACCATGAACACTGTTTTAACTGTATCTCATGGTGATTTCATTAAGAAAAAGAAAAAGAAAAGTTTGAGGGTTCAGTAATGTATTGTGGTGGAGTGGTATTGGTGCCTCAGAGGGGCTGAGATACTATAGTTAACACTTCATCTCTAAAACATATAAACATTTAACTCATAAACTGATGTCACTTCAATGAAAATTAAATCAAATACAAAGTATTTTAAAAAGTGAAGTACTTATAATTGCTATAAGTACTTGAAAATAATTGTTGAGTAAAATCAGTCAAAGGGAGTAAAATTGCTAGGGGCAAAGATATAGCATTTGCCTTGACTACAATGGTTTCGGGTTAAATCCCCAGCATCCCATATGGTCCTGAACCCACCAGGAGTGAACTCAGCTCAGAGCCAATAGTAAGCGCTGAGCACTGCCAGTGTATGGTCCAAAAACTCACAAACAAAAAACAAAAAAGGGAAAATACTGTGTTCAGTCAAAGAGTGAGTCACTAAAGGCCACTCCATATAACATGACTGCTTTATTAGGAAACGAACCTAACAGGCAAATTCATACAGAAAGTAGACTAGTGGTCAGCAGAGGCTGGGGAGAGGGGGAATGAGGAATGACTGCTAGTGCACATGAACTTAAGTTTGTGTGTTGGAGAACATATCCTGAAGTCAGAAGGTGGTATGGTGGCACAACTCTGCAAATTAACTAATCCCCAGTTAATTTATACTTTAGAAGGAGAAAATTTGACAGTGTTTGAACTACATCTCCATAAAGTTTGATTTAATGGGGAAATAAACTATGGGTTAACTAAATTCACTTTTCTATCAACTCACAATCAAATGTTAAAAAAATATACAACTGAAAAGTAACTCTAAAGTTATCAAGAGCAACAAAACATCAAGTTTTCCCTGCAAATTCTGCTATTTATATGCTGATGGATAGGGTTGCAATGTTCTGCAAATGTTTAAATAATAAATGCAAAGGTTCACCACTCAAAGTATTTAAGAGATGAATCACTTTAGCTAAGAATGAAAACAATCTGAAGATGTATATCATTCTGATAGCTTCCAGAGACTGTTCTCGGCGTATAGGAACGTAAGGAATAAACAGCAAACAATGAGGAGACACGAGAAATTCCTGAACAAATTCCTGGAATGTAACAGAACATTCCAGGGCCAACCCAGCAGCAGTTCAAAGCTGCAACCAGTCAGGACTAGAGCAGGATGACAAAGGTCACAGGAAGTAAAAAAAAGAAAATGAATCCAATAGATGAGCGGTTTCCAAATGTTTTGCACCAGTGAAATAGCACCAATCCACGGACTGGAGGCTAAAAACCACCAGAGTGGTGGAGTAACACACATGAACATTCTGAATGGAAATGTGCATTCTTGGAAGAATGAGCATGGGCAGTAGCAGCAAGCAATGGATGACTGGATGAAAAGACTTCCTTCAGGGAAAATGAAAGGGGATAAAAAAACAACAACGCGATCACCGACTTGTTTCAGTAATGTGTTAAGGCAGTCCTAGGAACCTAACCCTAAATAATGTAAGGATACCTGAAGTCCTGGGCACTGTGAGGGAGAAGGGAGAACGGGAAAGCTGCGCCTAGCTTGGAGGATGAAAGGCAGGTGGGGGGAGGAGGGGCAGCCGCGTGCGAGGCAAGCACCCTATGCTGTACTGTACCTCTGGCCTCCAAGAAGATTAATGGCTGGTAATCTTTGCTCACCTAGAAAGTGATTCTAGGTGATTACAGGACATTTTAAAACAAAGTATTAAATGTTTTTGGTGACAGTCATTATGTGGCAAAAGTATAAGCATAAGCAAAAACTGTCACCAAGTTTAAGACAGTGGTTATCCTGCATGGGAAAAAACTGGGAAAGGTTTTTTCTACCTATCTTTATGCTACTTTGCTTTTAGGGCTGGAGCGATAGCACAGCGGTAGGGCGTTTGCCTTGCACGCAGCCAACATGGCCGACCCAAGTTCGATTCCTCTGCCCCTCTCGGAGAGCCTGGCAAGCAACTGAGAGTATCTCGCCCGCACGGCAGAGCCTGGCAAGCTACCCGTGACGTATTTCGATATGCCAAACACAGTAACAACAAAGTCTCCAATGGAGACGTTACTGGGCCCGCTCGAGCAAATCGATGAAGAACGGGAGGACAGTGACAGTTTTTATTTTAAGGCAGGTTTCTTCTAAACTAATGATAAATCAATATAAAGGGGATATGGTTATGTAAATAGAGCACAAAAATGTAAACTGGAAGTAAAGAGAAGACAGAAAATTTTAGTGTCTGACTGGAGTGATAGTACAGTGGTCGGCACTTGCCTTGCACATGGCTGACCCGGGTTTGATTCCCGCCACCACACTATGTTCCCTAAGGCCCATCAGGAGTGATCCTTGAGCGCAGGATCAGGAGTAAGCCCCGAGGCACTGCTGGATGAGACCCCCAAAACAAAAAAATTAAAACAAAATTGTCACATCATTAAATTTGGATAGTAGGTAAGTATATGTCTTGCTATTTTCCGTACACTTTAAAATACATTTTAGTTTCATCAAACCTGCTAGGTGAGGCAGGCACCATCACAGCTGCATGACCTTCTGGCTGCTTTTCATTGCTGATGTGTCATGGTAACATTTAATATCATGAGTATAAATCAAAAACAATATTTTTGGGGGGTTGGGGATAAAGCAAGGGACAAAGCCTAGAGTCCAAGTATGAGAATAAAAAGTCCACAACAAGAAAGTTTTATATCAGAAACTAAAGCTGTTCATTTCTGATCTCCAGAGATTTACAAGTTTTAAAAAAAGGGGCTGCAGACAGCACAGCATGTAAGGCACTGGCCTTGCTGGGACTGCTATCCCCTGAGCACTGCCAGGCATTATTACTCCCAAGCAGAGCCAAGACTAGCCAGTGAGCACTGCCACATGTGTCCCAAACAGTTGCTGATTCCTCTGTCCCCCTTCCCCCTCAAAACAAAAAAAGCAAACCACACAAACTACTTTATACTTTGACAAATTTACCTATCCCATGAGAGCAAACCCAAGTCCTTCAGGGAACAAAGCCAATTTACCCGGAAACGATATTGTAGTTGAGGGCAGGATGGTCTTTGGAGACAGGTACAACGAGAGGTTCCGGCTGCCACTCTTCAATTAATTCTTCCTTTTCCTACAGGAGACGAGGAGTCAGCAATACAGCAGCATGCGAGTCACGAACTGAGCCCCCGCCCCCTGCAGTCTCTGGGCAGTTTACTGAGAGGAACCTCCACAGTGGGTGTCTGTTAGGGATCCAGGTTGGGCTGCCTGGCAGAAAGGAAACAGCCTCACTGTTGGGGTTCCAGGCACCTGGCAGCTCATCTCTTCCTATCACGGTTTAAGGGCTCTTCAAATGGAGCCTTGTGGGGCACTGGAAGTCACCTGCCAGTGATGGCAAAAACCAAAGAAACGTCTCCAAGGCAGAGAGGAGAAGTGTGGCTGTGGGAAAGTGGGCTCATGTCTACTTTCAGGTATCAGAAAGCCCACACCCTCCTTCTTCAGTCCAATCATAAAACCAGATAACGGAGCGCCATCTGATGGTTCTGTTACTTCCTCCAGAGAGTTTCCATACATGCTCTCTTTCTTTTACCTGATACTTCATTACAAGTATTTGACTATTTTGAGTTTCCTTTACCTTCTTGGCTTGAAAATGCAGCGAGGGTGTGCAGGATGAGACAAACATGAGCACCATACCAATTCCGGGCTTACACATAAGCCTGCTCTCCACAGCTCTAAAAACCTGTTCAATGCTTCTGTGCATATTCTTCCCCACAGGTAACGCCAGAGCAGGACAAAGGCACATTCACCTGATGCTCAGGCAACTTCGAAATGTTGACTGAATCAATCAATACATGTACATCTATTGACTGCCTGTGCGGCATCAGCAGTCCAGAGAAGCCTGAAGTACTTTAGGTTTCTCAGGTTTTTTTAAAAGAACAGTTTTAGAAAATTTCCATGGATTTTTTTGGGGGATAAAAGGCAATAATTATCTAGATTCTTGTTCTAGTTAAGTTTTGCTTCTGGAGGATTATTATTCTTAAATTATGTTTAGTTGATGTGCTTTTATGGATTAGTATGTTTAAACTAAATCTTAAGAGTATTAGGAATGGAAAAAAAAAAGAATATTAGGAATGGGGCTGGAGCGATAGTACAGGGGTAGGGCGTTTGCCTTGCACGCGGCCAACCCGGGCTCGATTCCCAGCATCCCATATGGTTCCCCCAAGCACCACCAGGAGTAATCAGGAGTAATTTCTGAGTGCAGAGTGCAAAGCCAGGAGTAGCCCCTGTGCATCGCCAGGTGTGACCCAAAAAGTTAAAAAAAAAAAAAAGAATGATCAATTCAAGCTGGAAATTTCAGGGTCACAGAATCACTCATAAGGAGTTTCTAAGAATCATACTAAGGTGAACTTCTCTCTTTTGGATGGTCCAGTTTTACTTCAGTGATACTGAAAGTTTCTCACAGCACTTTTTTTTTTAAATAGGGGAAGGAAGAGATCTCTAATCAAGTTTAAGGTTTCCTTTAAGATAATCTATGACATATTAAAGGCTGTAAGAAATCCTGTAACGATATTCCTTTACTCCACTTTATTCAGTTTTCTGAAACTTATCTGCCACGTAGTGCTGATGACTGAACTGGGGTTGGACATATGCAAGGCATGTGCCGCAACCCCTGTATGACCCCCTCTCTACCCTTACACCACCCCAAATCCATAAATAAAAAGCATAGAAAAAAACTTGAGCAAAGTTTTCAGAAATGCTGGTGATTTTCCTGAGCATCTGTCATTACCCAAATGTGTACCAGAAAGCCAGCAGCTGTTCACGTTTCCTTTTACCCTCTCTCCACAAGACCGTTAACCCTTAGCAAAGTACTCCCTTGGGTGCTCATCTCTGGCTTCCTTGTATTTTGCTTACTTTGATATTTCATTCCCCTTCATTTCCCTACCTTACACAAATCGTTTTATACTGCTGAACACAAAAATTCTTCCAAAAAGTTCTTTTGGGAGAGATGTACAATTATATACCAAATCATAACAAATTTTATTTCCTACCTTGGGGGTAAGGTCAGATCGTTCTTGTAATTTGTAAGTTTTAGAAAAAAGAAGCCTTATTATCCAGAGTATTAGAATTCCTTCCAAAATTAGATGGTAAGCAGGAGCCTAAGAGACAAAAACAAACAAAAGAGAAATTAACATTTCTGAAATCTGTACATTAAATGGGCTGGAGCGATAGCACAGCGGGTAGGGCGTTTGCCTTGCACGCAGCCAACATGGCTGACCAGAGTTCGATTCCTCCGCCCCTCCTGGAGAGCCCGGCAAACTATCGAGAGTATCTCGCCCGCACGGCAGAGCCTGGCAAGGTCCCCGTGACGTATTCGATATGCCAAACACAGTAACAACAAAGTCTCACAATGGAGACGTTACTGGGCCGCTCGAGAAAACGGATGAACAATGGGAGGACAGTGACAGTGACTGTACATTAAATATAATGCATCTATAATACTGCCTTATATAATCTCTAGCCTTATTCTGAAAATTTAATTTCAAAGTTCCTATAATTTCTAACAAAGCAACTTTTCCTACACAGGAAGAACTTATCACAGCAACTTTAAAAAAATGCAATTTAACGAAAAATTTTTGGGGACTGGAGCAATAGCACAGCGGGTAGGGCGTTCGCCTTAAAAGCGGCCAACATGGCCGACCCGAGTTCGATTCCTCCGCCCCTCTCGGAGAGCCCGGCAAGCTACCGAGAGTATTCGATATGCCAGACACAGTAACAACAAAGTCTCCAATGGAGACGTTACTGGGCCCGCTCGAGCAAATCGACGATCAACGGGAGGACAGAATTATTATATTTCAAATAATATCAACTATCAGATCTTTCAAGTAATTTTTAAAAGTGATACAAGATATTTTTATTGAATTAATGAAACTTATTTACAAATATGTAGGTGGTGGGGAAAAGAGGGTATGTGTTCAAGAGAGAACACAGGCTTCTCAAACAGACAAGCAAGTTAGACACCTGTTCAAGGGAGTACCTGGAATTGAAAAGCAAGTCCAAGTAACTCAATTTTTATCAGCAGAAAATAACTGCAATAAACATTTCAGTTTTCCAAGTCATCAACCACTAGCATTTATTATAAATGCGTAATTCAGAAATGAGTCTCTACAGTTATTCTGCAAATTGTATTTTTAGGTTATACCTGGCAGTGCTCAGGAGAGGCTCCAGGCAGAGCTCAGAGGGACAACAGGGTGGCTGGGGTCAAAGCCAAAAACCCCACATGCAGAGCATGTCCCACTGAGCTTTGTTCCAAGCTTCCGCAATTTCCCACCTTTGGTTATGCGGCCACAACCTGTTGGTACTCCAGGGTTTACTTCTGGCAGGACTTGGGGAACCATTAGCGGTGCCAGGATAAAACCCTGATAAAATCCCTATGGCTCCAGCACCAGCTTCCACAATTCTTAAAAGAATTTTGAACGTTCTACTGTATACTCTGCATACATATCTGATAAGCCCCTTTAAATCCATTTTGGAATATGAGAGAGGAAAAGTGCTCAGAGGAATAGTGTCTTTTCTCCCAGCTCCCCAAAGCACTTTGTGTTTCCCTGTCAACAGGCATATAGACAGACCCCTCAATGACATTATCCACTACAGGTTTCCTAAGAATATGCTTCCAGATAAAGACCACGCTGGCTTATGTGTTTTTTTTTTTAACTAGACACACTAATAGCTTATCAGAAAACCATTCAAAGGGCTATTTAGACACATAAACCCAAATCATTTTCACACACTACAGTGATGATTCACCAGAGTCTGAAAAATCTATCCAGAACGAGGGGCTAGAAATCTGCTGACAAATTTGCACGTGAATTTCAAAGATCAAGCACAAGTAACTGAAGAAAAATGAGTGTCTGTCCTCGCCCCTTCTACTACACCGGGGTTGCTGATGGGACCCCAAAATGCTGGGATCCACCATGCACCCTAACCCGGTACCATTTCCCTGGCCCCTAAGAAGCTCTTTCACACTTGCTAACCCCTGAAACAATTCATTTAAAAATAAAAAAATAAGGATCCTGGTCTAACTAACCACTTTCCCCCCAACAAATGAATCTAGCTGACAAAACATCTTATTCACATCACCAGCTGCACACCCCACTCCCCAAAGAAATCGCCCCAAGAAAATTTCAGAGTCTAACTGAAGAACGTGCAAAAGTAACAAGCCATTTCCCCCTGGAGATAAAGTAGAAACTGTTGCATCTACTAGGGTTTCCTTTCGTACTCACGGCCAACCTCAGGATCCGTGAAGCCGGCGAGCAAACGCACCCTATGAAATCATCCACGCAAAACACTTCCCTTCGGGAAAAAAACAAACCAAAAAAAAAAAAAAAACCCGCTGCGCGTTCCGTGGCCCAGTTGCTCTCAGCTGCTTCTCGGAGACTCGGGTCCGCCTCGCAGGGTCGCCGGCGGCGCTACGGTCCCTCAACAAGGAAGCTCCGGGATTCTTTTTTTTTTTTTTTATTAAATTTTCAATTGTCAAAAGAAATAATTCACTTTGAAAGGACGCAAGTTCTCTAAGGAAAAGTCCGTCCGCCCCGGGCGCCCGCGCCCCCTCGCCGCCGCCTCCTCTCGGGAAGCCAGTGCGCACTCGGACCCCGGTCGCGGGGACGGCGTCCGGGACCCCCGCCCCCGGGGCAGGTGGGCGCCCCGGAACACGCGCCCGAGCACCCCACCTCGCGGCCCCGCCTCTGATGGGTCACCCCAGGGTGGCGGGCGGGCGGGCGCGGGCGGCGGGGCCGCAGAGTTGCCTTCACGCCGCGGCCCGGCCCCGGCCCCGGCGCTCTGGCCCGCGCCCCCCGCCCCGGCGCTTCTACCCGCGCCCCGCGCCCCGCGACCCCCGCACCTGCCCCCGCTCCGGCGCCGTCTCCCACACGCTCGTTCCCGCGCCCGCCGCCCAGCGCCGAGACCCGCCGCGGACTCGGGGTTGGCAGGGGCGTCGCCAGGCTGAGCCCCGGCGCTCGGGCCCTGCCCTCCCGTCCTTCTCCGAGGGTCGCCCAGAGCCGGCCTCCCCGGGGCCGCCTCACCTCGTAGAGCGCCTGGACCATCTCCACCAGCACCCACTGCTCGGCGGTGGCCGCCATGGTCAGCCGCTGGGGCTTCCTTCCTGAGGCGCCCGCACGCACGTCAAACCGGAGCGGCGCGGACTAGTGACGTCACGCGGGCGGGGCCACCCTGCAAGGGACGCCCCCCTCCCCCCTCCGGCGCCTGCGCACGGGGAGCCGGAAGCTGCGTGGGAAAGGCGCCGGGAGTCGGGCCCGCGGCGGCGCTGATGCCTCGACGAGTCCTTACGGTGTCATCGCGGGCGCGGCTTTTTGTTTGATGGAGGCGGGTCACAACAGGTGCAACTCAGGGGTCACTCCTGGGAGGATACGGGGGAATCAGAGGGGTCGACCCCAGGTGACCGCGTGCGAGACAGACGCCCTGCCTGCCGTGCTGTCCCTCTGGTCCGCTTGAGCATAGTCTTCTGCAGGAATTCAGTCCCCTAAGGAGACCTTACAAAGAGCTGTGAGGGGCTGGAGAGAAAGTTCAGCGAGCAAAGGGCTCAACCACCCGATGTGATCGATGGGAGGTTAGATTCTTGGCATCCCATGTGATACTCCAGGAGTGACCCCTGCGCAGCTCTGTGTGCCCCGACCCCGCTCCCCTCTGCCGGGAGTGGGGCGGTGTGGGTGGGGTGCGTGTATAAAAAACAGAGCACGTTGGAGGTCCCAGACACGGTGTAAGCTTCACGGATATTTCCATCTTGGATAGAGCACTTTGAAGGTCTCAGACATGGTGTAAGCTTGGCAAGTATTGTCCTGTAACACATAGAGCCTTACACTGCCTTCATTGGGCATAAACAAATAGACTGTTAAGAGATGCCCTTGAACTCGTTTTGTTCTAGGTGGTGGGATAATAGGAGCAATATTGTTACAGGACTGGTGGTGACCATTTATGTATTTTTTTCCTCCACCTTCCGCCCATTGCAAACAATGCTGCCCTCAACAGTAAATGTGCACAGCCTCAAGCTCACCTGGACCATTTTTGATGAGTTTTTAGAGTGTTTTCATTGTTATTGTTATGGACTAAATATTGATTAGAATGTTTACATTGTTATTGCTAAATATAGTCATAATACTCTATTGAATGACTGAACCAATTAAAAATGTTTCAAGGAATAACCACACCGTAGCCCATAAATACTCTTTTAAATTTTGCTAATTTAATAGAAATACTTTATTTTCTGTGCTGTGAGCTATTCATGAGGTCGAGTAACTTCCCACTCATTGACAATCATAATCCTGTTATGACTCAGAACATAACATTCTTTGACCATTTCTGTCCATCATTTCTCATTTTCTTACAGATTTTATCGGAGACCTTTTTACTTTCTGGATGCTGATGCTTTTCTACCTGGCATGTGACCACTGGTTTTGCACAGCTTCAGTCAGGTTTATGTTACCTTCTGTCAGACTGATATTTAAAACTTTATGGGCCAAGGAGATGGCTGAAAATACATGCCTTGCATGGGGGAGGTCAGGGTTTGCTCCTGGACGCAATGGGGTCCTCTGAGCACCACTGGTTGTAACTGAAAGGTCAAAAGAGGATCAGGAAAGTCTTTGAGCTGGAGAGATAGTAATGGAGGGTTAAGACACTTGCTTTGTACGTTGTGACCCCTAGTTCAGTCTGGGACACTACATATGATACTGCTAGTTGTGCCAGGGATAAGCCCTGAGCACTGCAGATGTGCTCTCCTCCCCCACAGCCCTTTGAAAATAAATGTTCTGTGTTTGGTGGTTCCACTACACCAAATGCCTGTCCCCCATGCTTACATCTCCTCTACCTTCCCGTATTGACTTTTCCCTGATAGGGTGTTGCATGTGGCTTCATGGGGATAGTCATGCATTTAGTTGCAGTGCTCAGTGGGAGTGCATGGCAGATTATGGTGCTCACGTGGCCTCAGTGCTGGACTGGGGTTGTTCTCTAGTCTTGGTGCTTGTTCACTGCACTCACTAGGGGTTGCATTCTAGTTGTGGTGCTCATGTACATTCTGGTTATTTTGTGGTTGTGTGTGGGCAGAGAGACTGCACTCCTCCCGCATGCTCACATACCATTTCTGTTAAGTTGCAATGTTTGCTCAGGGCCAGACTCTGCTTGTGCAGTTCATACACACCTGGCTGTGGTACAGATGGAAACCATGTACAGCACTGGGTACTCAAACAGCTGAGCTGCCGGAACTGTGCTCAATGCTCTTGGCCTTCCTTCCGCTCATGCTTTCGACAGAGCGCCATGTCCCATCACTGCACCTTCAGCACTCTTATGTCTTTCTCACATCCTTACATCCATTTGTGGCTACAAGGAGCTCTTTAATTACTCTGAAAAACACATTTTTGTGTGATGGGATAGAGTCCTTAATCATTTTTTCCTAAAGGAATACTGAAATGTCCCGGTATTGTACCTGAGAGTGTAATATAGCCAGAAGAGTAGTAGTGTGCAATAGAGGAAGTCCTCTTGGTATTCTCATAGGTTCTTGGAAACAGTGACTTTAAGTGAAATGATACATAATGAAAGCTGGTCCAATTGTTTCCCCCCCCCCCCCCCACCCCATCAATGTTAAGGAAACTGACATTGAATGTGATATTGGAGCATCTGTGAAATACAGCAGCATTACACATTACATTTCCACAGGGAGTAGGTACTATGTACCCAGTGATGCCAATGCTCTGGGCATAACCCAGTTCTGTGGTTGTGTATGGTTTCACCCATTATTTTAATTCCAATAGCCAGCACCTGGTTTTTTTTTTTTTATTAGTAAAACACCACGAGGTACAGTTGTAGACTTACAAACTTTTGTGATTGAGTTTCAGTTATATATGATCAAATACCCATCCCTCCACCAGTGCCTATTCACCACCAGTGATCCCAGTAGCTCTACCCCAACCCACCCCTCACCCCCCACCACATCCCATCTCTGTGGCAGGGCATTCCCTTTTGCTCTCTCTTTCCTTTAGGGTGTTGTAGTTTGCAATAGAGGTATTGAGTAGTCATCGTGTTCGGTCTATAGTCTATTTTTAGCTCGCATCCCAAGCGAGTCCTCCAAACATCCTTTACTTGGTGTTCCCTTCTCTATCTGAGCTGCCTTTCCCCCCAGCATGGACTGCCGGCTTCCAAGCCATGGAGCAGACCTCCTGGTACTTTTCTCAACTATTCTTGGGTGTTCAACTCCCATTGTGTTACTTTATATTCCCCAGATGAGTGCAGCATGGTACTGGAACAAAGGCAGAACCTCAGACCAATGGAACAAGGTTGAATATACTGACACCTCCCACCAAATAAATGATCATATTGTCTTTGATAAGGGAACAAGAAGTGTAAAGTGGAGCAAGGAAAGCCTCTTTAACAAATTGTGCTGGCAAAACTGGACAACTACATGCAAAAAAGTGGGCTCAGATCTCTACATAACACCATGTACAAAAATAAGATCAAAATGGATTAAAGATCTCAGCATCAGACTGGAATCCATAAGGTACATTGAAGACAAGGTTGGCAAAACCCTCCACGACACTGAAAGCTAACAGTATCTTCAAAGATGACACGCCACAGGCCAAGCAAGTGAAAACAGAGATAGACAAATGTATTTTTTGGAATTCTAGCTTCAGACTTCCTGAAGATGGAGGAATGGAAGGATCTGAGCTTGTATGTTTCTCTGAGCAGCCCTTAACTGAACGGATGACTTATGGTTGCTGGGATCTAAATGTGATAGCCTCCAGATCTGCCATATCTAGGCAAATCTGAGAGGTGAACTTCATCATCTCTTTTGGATTAAGATAATAGATGGCTCAATCTGCAAATTCTTTCACCAACAGGGAGAGACTAGATTCTCTTTCTTGAGACTGGCCACCTCTCTGTGACATTTTATATGGTTTACTAGCTGCCACATGGAGAGGTCTTGGGAAGATCATATGAAGGGAAAGAGATAGCTATGGCGTCCAGGTTGCTTCCAGCACTGTATGTTTGAGTCTTACTAGTTCAAGTGTCAGAAATGTAAAGGAAAATGATTCCATATGGCTCGTTACAGCCAACCTCTGCTTACCATCACTTGAGAGAGCCAGAGAGAGAAATGCTTAGTTAAGTCCAGACAACCCCCTGTGGTGGGTGAACAAAATAAATTACTGCTATTGTTTTAAGCAACTGCTTTGGAATTGTTGACATAGCAGTTGTCAGCCACTGTGATAACTGGAACAGGTTTCGATACCATGAGTCTTTGCTGACTTTTGCACTTAAGCTTGGCCACTGTATTATTTCCTTGAGATTACATTCTTAAAAGTTATGAAAAAAATGTGTGTCTTGAAACAAATTTAAATTTATTGTCTAACAGTTACAGAGGCCAGAAAGTTCAAATTAAGGTTGCGAGCAGGTCTGAATTTCTGCCACAGGCTCTAGGTAGGCCTTCTCTCTTCTCTCTTCTCTCTCCAGATTCTGCCATTTCTTACATTGTGGCTGCACCGGAACAATCTCTGCCTCTATCTCCTGGTGGCCTTCTCTGTCCTCTCTATGGCTCCACCCTTGCCATTAGGTTCACTCTGTTCATCTAGATTGCTCTCATTGCTCTCCTCTGTAGATCCTTTAGTCACATATTCAAAGGAAAGTTTCTAAATGAGACTGTGTTCACACGTATACTAACTTTGTGATTGCCTTTCTGGTTAGAGGTAGGTATAAAGGGTTTTATTATTATGTTTTACATTTGAGCTTTCCTATTGCTAATCTTTTATATTCTTCTGGTTATCATTTATATATATGATAGGATTCATTTCCTAGGATAACACAATAGGTCATTGACAGTTGAACTCACTTCCGGCTCCTCCACCTTCCCTTCCAACAATCTTGGTGAGGAACTCAACGTCACAGCCCTCTAATCACCCGAGGGAACCACTTTCAAGTAGTTCCCATTCTTAGGTGCTTTTAAAAGTCATTACAAATAACACCTTTATCACCTTTGACACTTGGAAAAGTCTAAGGATTTGAGTGACAGAGCTGTCACCTGGAAATTGGATGCAGACTAAATATGTGTATTTTGGTCATCTGAGTGTCTCCAAATGTATATTCTGCTTACAAATCAGAACATCGCAAATGTCTACTCCAGTTT